CAGATAGCGCTTCTTGTATTTCTTAGTAAAATTCATTCATCCATATGACTACAGAGCACCTTTATATCATAATTGGCTTCAGTTCATGAAGGGGACCACAATCCTAGATATCTAACCCAAACAATAAACAAAGTAGGAACTCTTAAGAAGCTGTATAGATGGTTTTAAATGTTTGACAAGACGGATAGTCTATACCCATGATGACAAATTTTTATATTGTTGTCCTTTCGATTTACAGGCAGAGTAACTAATAGAAGACATTAATGGATTTACTTAGTATGTAAAACCTGTTTACACTTTTCAATACAATTGTTTTCTTTCCTATAAACTTTCCATTTATAAGAGCTGTTTCCTGATGGTCTAGAAATTATCTGGAAATTCGTTATCGTTGTTTCAACCTTGTCCCTGTATGGTATTTTTACCACTATTTTGTGTCTTAATCTGACAGATGAAGTGCACAGGTAGGAAATAAATACACATGTTTGCGCGAATGAATAACGTGAATGTTTCTAGCAAAGATTTAAAATAGCTTAAAACAGTTATTTTTATTCATATTTCTGTGTATTATACTGCGAAGTATGCATTTCATCGGTGGACTACGACTTTTTACTGCTTTCATTTTGGAAGTTTGCATCCAGATGAAAATAAATGTTAATTTAGTATCGTATATAGTATAGTGAGTTAATGTCTTCTCCTTCTTCAATAATGACAATAACAACAAACGATATTGTTTTTACGTACAATGTGCTAATATAGTGTAGAGTGCGATAGTGAGTTATTCAAATAGGAGACGATTTTACACAAATAGTATGTACTGTACTCTCTACAATACTGTTGGGTCTGTATTGTGATTAAAAATTTTTGGTTACATTATTCCTGTCACACATGTATAATCTTCATACAACTTTGTAACGAATTCCATAGAAACTGTCTTGGTCAGTTTTATGAAATATATACACTGCCATTAATAAATATCTTATTAATTTGAGGACAAATTTACTGACAAGAATGGCTCGTATTTAAATAATTTATGGTGCAACGTATATACTAACTACAGATTTATTCACTGAACTTCAAGTTAAACTCTCTGTCATGTGTGATAGCTAGTGGTACCACCAGGCTGTTTGAACAGAAGTAGATGAAGGGATACTAGACTCTCTGACCTGTTGACTGAAATCCGGATAATTCAAACATTAACGCATCTCATCATTAAATAACTATTGGTTAGATATTTACAAAAAGTATCAAAAAACCTAAACTAATTGAATTTATTTGATGCATAGCCTTATTTAGTTCAAAAATATTAATATTTTATAATCTTGCAAGTTAATCATGATACAACAAATTTACAATTGTTCACAGAATATTATATCTTAGGCTATAGTTCCACTTCATTTTCCGAAACGTCTAAAACCGTATTATTTTTAGTGTTACACAAAAACAGTTTACGTAAAAACAGTTTCACATTCCTAAAAAAAGTATCTATCTGACGAAAAAAGTTCCACTGAAATCAATTTTTACATAAGATGAATGACTCTAGTGTAGTTATAAGAATTATGCTACTAACAAGCAGTAAATAGAGGGTAACCTTTTATCTCTTCTCATCAGAGATTAAAGTACATTTTTATGACAATAGTTCACATTAGTTCCAGATGTACTCTTTGTTAAGTGCTGCCAAGGTATCGAACATAGATAGAGTTTCGTGAAGGCTTGCCTTTCAACACCTAATATTGAATATATCTTCGGAAAAAAGGTGGACGTAAATTCACTTAGCAAATGCGAAAAAACGAATTATTTGAAATACAGTTGGGAACGTGGATTCTTAGTGGGATTATTAACAATAGCTTACGAAAATTAGTTCAGCTTGACGATAATTTCCAATTCAAAATGTTAATAGCTGAGGAACTATTCTAAACTAAGGAAACACTTCCAGACTGTTCCATTACTTATTCAAGATTACTCAGTCCATAATGTAAATCTATCTTTAAAGTTGTATATTTCATTGTCAACTTTTGATGAAATATTTAAAATGTTTTTAAAAAAAACACTATACCTAGACTAAAGCTTTTATCCGTTCAAAGCTTTTATCATCATTCTGAATAATTTTACCAGCTTCTATTTCAATCCATCTATCTAAGCTACAGACCTTTATTTTATCATTTTAATGAAATTCCTATTCTCTACTAACCTAAGTATAAATTAAGAACACTTTAAGCATAAGTAATAGACTAATATTTGAACGAAGAATATTCTTTTCGATAAATTCTCTTCAGGTTCTACAACTATATATCCAAATTAATAATTCGAAAAAAATGGTCAGGTTAAAGGCAAAGTACATCGTTTAATGCATGTAAATTTAGGATTGTCAAACCAAATCAGTCAGTCAGTCAGCGACAACGTAGGACCAGGAACATATATGCATCGGTCCAAGTTGCCATAGTTAGCATTACAAGATCAACACCGGATTCATAGAAATAGTTAATTTAGTGGTGGTAGTATATAAAGAAAGATTGTATATAAGGATATAATATAGGAAGGAAAAAAGTTATGAAACAATTTTAACCTCAAAGTTTAAGGGAAGACAAAGAGTGTATACACCTACGCCATTGTGATCGATTCTGAGCCATGTCACACAGAGTCCCTAACCATTGGTTACAATAGCCACGCGGACCCCAACCAAGTAGTCTACATCTACCAACATGGCTCAGACTAGAGGTTAATGACTTCAAGCTCTGATGCCACGTTTTGTTTTGGCCGCCTCTAACTCTCTTTCAACCATCCCCAACACTAGTCAGAATAGCGCGTCGTGGTAATCGGTGTTCAGGCATACGTAACACGTGGCCTAACCATCTCAGTCGATAATGATTCACAACCTCATCAACTGATTTACCATCATTTCCTAATACCCTGTGTCTAACCTCACTATTACTTACCCAGTGATCCCAGCAGATGCGAGCAATATTTCTAAGGCATCTGTGGTCAAATACTAGTAACCTACGAGTATCTTCTACTCTTAATGGCCATGTTTCACAACCGTAAAGTGGAACAGAGCGAACTGATGCGCAGTATACTCGTCCTTTAAATGATAGACGGATATCTCGTCTTCGCCATAGGTGACGTAAGTTGGCGAAAGCCAAACGAGCTTTCTGAATCCCTGCTGAGATTTCATCAGACACCAACCCATTAGGGCTGATCAGACTTCCAAGATAAGTGAAACTGTCAACTCGTTCGACTACTTCACTCCCTATCCTTAGTTCAGGTGTTGACGCAGGCCAGTCCTGTAGTAATAATTTACATTTAGAGGGGGAGAAACGTATCCCAAACATCCTGGCATTATTAATCAGTTCTAACAGAAGACTCTGCATTTTGTCAGTGTCTTCGCCAAACAGGACTATGTCATCTGCGTATTCTAAGTCGATAAGTGAACCTCCTGGTAGAAGATCAATTCCTGAAAATTCAGTCGACGAGAGTGTTATTTCCAGCAACAGGTCTATAATGAAGTTAAACAAAAATGCGGATAGTGGACAGCCTTATCGGACACCACTTGATGTTGTAAAATCATATGACAGTTCGCCATAAGCTCTCACTCGACTGATAGTGTTCGAGTAAAGAGTCTTCACAAGGTTTATGTACTTCAGAGGTACACCAAATAGAATAAAATTGTTAATGTTGATATGACTCATAAGATCTGTGATCACAGATCTTAAATTTTAATATGATGGAGATCTTTAAACGATTATAAGTAATAGATTATTAAGAAATATACATCAAGTTGCATATTCACTTCATAAATTATTATGACTAGTTCATTTGGATAAATTATGGACAATCATTTGAATAAGTTAAACTTATTAATATAATATTTTCATTAAATTTACTAATCTATTTTATAGAAGGGGTTTTGTGGAGATTTAGTATTTATCATAGTTGAAAGCGTGATTCAATTGAAGCTAGACCACCATTGAAAACCTGGAAACACTGGACGGCCGTTTCGTCCTATTATGGGACTCCTCAGCAGTGCGCATCCACGAACCCGCTCTCGCGAGCGAGACTCGAACCCAGGACCTACTAGTCTCGAGCCGAAGCTCTTAACCGATAGACCACTGAGCTGGCATTCAACGGTGTTAGTGTCTAACTTCAACTGATCCACGAAGTTGAGCAACCATTCACCAATTGTCTTCAGTGAGTTCCTATCTCACAACAGACGTGGTTTTGAACTCCACTGGTCACTGCTTCTCGGCTCGAGACTAGTAGGTCCTGGGTTCGAATCTCGCTCGCGAGAGCGGGTTCGTGGATGCGCACTGCTGAGGAGTCCCATAATAGGACGAAACGGCCGTCCAGTGTTTCCAGGTTTTCGATGGTGGTCTAGCTTCAATTGAATCACGCTTTCAACTATGATAATCTATTTTAGATGACATAACATTTTATATTTTTACTACTATCAATACACCTGTCTTCCCATTATCAACTTGTACTTATATGCGGTGATGTAATCTATTACATTATGAATAATGAATGACTCGAATTGCCTCGATTAGTTTAACATTTTCATATAAATATTGATGTATATTAGAGTAAAGCCTGATGACGTTCACATTGAAAACAATTGTTCACTTATATGTGTTTTTCTAATTTCCACAATGGGAATCTTTAATATTCTACAAACAGGTTGATCTTTTTTTTAAAAAAAAAAGTTATTCATTATCTATTTGTACTTTCATTATTTCTTTTGTATGATGTAACTAACCATTAAATGATTACATCTATACATCAAGATTAAAACCATTCAATCATCAAACTAAATATATAGTTGTCTTATTCACGTTTTATCAATAATAATATAACCTATCATCTCTAATATATCTTATCTTACAATGATAAATCTTTTGAAGGAATCAATCGATCCTATGATGTAATCAATAATGATTTAATACAATAATAATAATAATAATAATAATAATAATAATAATTGAATTAGATCATCATTCATGTTCACTTACATGTTTGATCATTCTCTTTTCTTCTATGCGCGTAATGTTCCATAGCTAAAATATATTTTAAAAAATAAAATCAATTAAGTCAGTTGTTGTATAAAGTGGTTTTCAGTCACCCTTTTTTATTTCTTTTTATTGAAAACATCTATTTAACAGAAACCAAATAAAGAGGTACATTGTGGAAGTAAAATCAATTATTTTTTATTTAAGAAAGACCCTTCTTATAAAATGATATGCTATGATGAATAAGAAAAAAGGTAAACATTTTATCATTATTGGGTTTCAAGCTCTTTTGGGATCACATCGAATACCTAACGAGAACTTTATTGAATAGAAATACAATAATTAAAGTTTTACAACGTTATCATTTTGTAGATCAGGGAACTGATGAGTTAATTTAAGATATATTCAAAGAATAACACCCATTTGATAAATGAGATGATAGGAACCTTCACTCTTCTTTGATTTATGCATAATCCATAACTTGCACTACAATTTTTTTGTATAACATAGTAACGTTCATTGTGAAGATCCGTAAATACTATTCATTATTGAGTTTAAGGGAATTTCTATATTGGTAAACTATTCTATTAATAAACATATGATGTACGGTATCGTTTGATAGTCTAATCTAGATAAAGGCATACGGTGAGGCACCAGTACTATTTAGTATCTTCCTGTGCAAAATGTACTGTTCATAAACAGTATACACATTTCCAAGTTAACATGTTCTTACCACTTCCGTTGTTGGAATTCAGAAGTCAACTGAAGCTAGACCACCATGGAAAACCTGGAAGCACTGGACGACCGTTTCGTCCTAGTATGAGAGTCCTCAGCAGCGCACATCCACGATCCCTCCTCGAGAGCTTCGAGCCCATGAAGTATCGATATCGAGCGCGAACGCTTAACCTCTAGATCACCGAGCTGGCATACAACGGTGTTAATGTCTAACTTTAACCAATCCACGAAGTTGCACCACTGCCCACCATTATCTATTACCAATTAGACAGGCTTAACAAACTTTCAGTATCAATTTTTTGAGTGACTACATTGCAAGCGTGATTGATATAATTTAATTAATTCTAGAAATAGCAATAGAAAGCTTGAATTTATTGTTTACTGACCAGTTAGTATATGTTCATCTCTTTCAATGAAAGTTTTACTTATCATGTTCACCCACCATTGGTAAATAAATCTATATGTGTACCTGACTTCCATAGATTGAAGCTATTATCGAGGGTCAGATAACTAATCATTCAACTAACAAATTAGGAAAACATTTGTATGATTATTTTTGACAGTTAACTTGCCTACTTACGCTTCATTATCATATGAATACCATACAATTATTCAAAGGTGCCTGCAATAATTAACATTGACTTAAGATATCCTCTGCTGCATATTTCTTTGTTAATTACTAATCAGACTCAAACAACACCTTAGTACCAGTATTCCTCAATCCGAGTTAACTTCATACCATTATATAAAAAAAAATTTATACGGAATTTATTTTAGTGACCACACTGTGCTGAAAAATTGCTTGTTTATTGGCATATATTACTTAATTTGTTTACAATTTAATGAGACTAGATTAATTTATCTTAAAGATTCGTGCACATTAATTACTTAAAAGCTTGATATCTTTCATAAGTGTTACAAACTGTATAGTTCTTTTCATAATAAATTCAAACCAGTTAGGGAAGCATTTAACCTAAACAATGATATCGCAGTTCGTTTATCCTTGGGAAAGCCTGTCTACCGAATTAAGAGAACGAATGAACTCCTTAGACCGGTGAACATCGTAGCTTATTTTTACTTACTGTGCATCTTTAATAACTCCGCCTGTAGCTCTTCTAGAGTTACTGCCGGTCCCAAGCCCGGGTAAAGGAGGAGGGTTGGGCATGGGGTTAGCGACCCCATCCCGTAGAAAAGCTAACTCGCTAAAAAAACGCTAACCAGAAAAAATAATTCAAACCATTTAAACTCTGCCCTGGGAGTTGAAGGAATAATTATGACGTCTCATGATGAAAGCCGAAATTCTTCGGAAGTCACGAGACCGATGCACCTTCTAACAACCAGAGCAACACTCTTTATAGGTACATGGAACGTCCGGACAGTGTGGGAGACAGGAAAGACCAGCCAAATAGCAATGGAAATGAGAAGATACAACTTGGCAGTACTCGGAATCAGCGAAATCCATTGGACACAAACTGGACAACAAAGGCTAGGTACAGGAGAGATGCTGCTGTACTCCGGTCACGAAGGGGAAAATGCTCCACACACACTCAGGGAGTTGCTCTAATGCTGTCCAAAGAAGCACGAAATGCACTTGTGGGATGGGAATCTCATGGACCCAGGATAATCAAAGCATCATTCGGAACAAAGAATCAAGGGATCACAATGAACGTTATCCAATGTTATGCACCCACCAATGATAGCAACGACGATGATAAAGATCAGTTCTACTCGAGGCTGCAATCAATTGTAGCAAAGTGCTCAAGTAAGGACCTCACCATCCTGATGGGAGATCTAAATGCTAAAGTTGGAGTGGACAACACAGGATATGAAGATATAATCGGACGACATGGACTAGGAGAGAGAAATGAAAATGGGGAGAGACTTGCAAACCTATGTGCTTTCAACAAATTGGTTATAGGAGGCACAATATTCCCACACAAACGCATACACAAAGCTACATGGATCTCACCGGACCACACCACAGAGAACCAGATTGATCACATCTGTATCAACGAAAAATTCCGAAGATCAATGGAAGATGTAAGAACCCAGAGAGGAGCTGACATAGCTTCAGATCACCACCTGGTTATGGCCAAGATGAGACTGAAGCTTAAGAAACACTGGAAAACTGGACAAACAGCACTACAAAGGTTTAATACAGCCTTCCTTCGAGATACTGACAAGCTCCATGAATTCAAGATAACTCTCAACAACAGGTTCCAAGCTCTACAGGATCTACTGAAAGAACAAGAAACTACTTTGGAGGACAACTGGAAAGGGATAAAAGAAGCACTAACTTCAACGTGTCAGGAGGTTCTTGGTCCTAAGAAGCATCATCACAAGGAATGGATCTCTATGGGAACCCTGGACAAAATTCAAGAAAGGAAGAACAAGAAACTAGCAATTAACAACAGCCAAACACGAGTAGAGAAAGTCGAAGCACAAGCAGACTACGCAGAAGCAAACAGGGAAGTGAATAAAAGCATTGAAGCCGACAAGCAGAAATACATGGGAGAACTAGCAACGACAGCGGAAAAAGCTGCAAGAGAAGGGAATATGAAACAACTATATGATACAACGAAGAAATTGGCAGGGAGATATAGCAAACCAGAGAGACCAGTCAAAGACAAAGAAGGAATGACAATCACTGAGATTCAAGAACAGAGGAAATGATGGGCAGAATACTTCGAGGAACTGCTGAATAGACCAGCCCCATTGAATCCACCGAACATCGAAGCAGCCCACACAGACCTTCCAATAGATGTCACTCCACCAACGATCGAAGAAGTCAAGATGGACATCAGACAAATCAAAAGTGGGAAGGCGGCAGGACCTGACAATATACCAGCAGAAGCACTGAAGTCAGACATTGAAATAACTGCAAATATGCTTCACCTTCTATTCAAGAAGATTTGGGAAGAGGAACAAGTGCCAACGGACTGGAAAGAAGGATACCTAATCGAGATACCAAAGAAAGGAGATCTGAGCCAATGTGAGGACTACAGAGGTATCAGTTTGTTATCAGTACCAGGAAAAGTTTTCAACAGAGTGCTGCTGAATCGGATGAAAGACGCAGTAGACGCCGAACTTAGGATCATCAGGCTGGATTCCGTAAGGATCGGTCGTGCACAGACCAGATTGCGACACTACGGATCATCGTTGAACAATCAGTTGAGTGGAACTCATCACTATACGTCAACTTCATTGATTTTGAGAAGGCGTTTGACAGCGTGGATAGGAGAACATTATGGAAACTTCTTCGACACTATGGAGTTCCTGAAAAGATTGTCAACATTATCCAAAACTCATACGAGGGATTACAGTGCAAAGTGGTGCATGGAGGTCAGCTGACAGATGCATTTCCAGTAAGGACCGGAGTCAGACAAGGCTGTCTACTCTCCCCATTTCTCTTCCTTCTAGTGATTGACTGGATTATGACGAATTCGACATCTGAAGGGAAATACGGAATACAATGGACAGCTCAGAATCAATTAGATGATTTGGACTTCGCAGATGACCTAGCCCTCCTCTCTCACACACACAAACAAATGCAGATGAAGACAGCAAATGTAGCAGCAGCCTCCGCTTCGATAGGCCTCCACATTCACAAAGGAAAAAGCAAGATTCTCAAATGCAACACGGAGAACACCAACCCAATCACACTTGATGGCGAAACTCTGGAAGAGGTGGAAACATTCAAGTATCTGGGGAGCATCGTTGATAAACAAGGGGGATCGGATGCAGATGTAAAGGCGAGGATTGGCAAAGCAAGGGCAGCATTTCTACAATTGCAGAACATATGGAACTCAAAACAACTCTCAACCAATTTCAAGGTCAGAATCTTTAATACGAACGTCAAGACAATCCTACTGTATGGAGCTGAAACGTGGAGAACTACTACGGCCATCATCAGGAAGGTACAAGTATTTATAAACAATTGTCTACGCAAAATACTCAACATTCACTGGCCGGATACTATCAGCAACAGCGTTTTATGGGAGAGGACAAACCAGCTTCCAGCTGAAGAGGAAATTAGGAAAAGACGTTGGAAGTGGATCGGACATACATTGAGGAAATCACCAATGTGCATCACAACTCAATCCCTTACTTGGAATCCGGAAGGGAAGCGGAAGAGAGGAAGGCCAAAGAACACACTACGCCGGGAAATAGAAGCCGATATGAAAAGGATGAATAACAACTGGAAAGGAAGGCTCAGGACAGAGTTGGATGGAGAATGCTGGTGAGCGGCCTATGCTCCTCCACAAGGGGTAACAGGCGTAAGTAAGTAGGTAAGTAAGTAAGTAAGTAAGTAA